GCTATCGGGGGGTCACACTCTGGGTTGGGGGGGGTCCCTGCTTATGGCTACAGGGGGGTCCCCCCCTAGGGGCGCGGGGGGCCCTCGGTACGGGGGGCACGGACGGGGTGTTTGGGGAGGGGGTTTGGGGTCACGGAGCGGTCCCAGCGGGTTGGGGAGGGGAGGGGGCGTAAAGGAAGCGAGGGGGTCGCAGCCCCAAATGTGTGGGTGCCCCAGGATGGCCGGGGGGGTGCTGGAGGTGCAGGGGGTCCCCCCCGACGCCCCCGAGGAGCTGCTGGTGCTGTACTTCGAGAGCCGGCGGCGCTCGGGCGGGGGTCCCGTGCGGAGCTGCCAGCGCCTCGGACCCCTCCTCTTCCTCACCTTCGAGGACCCCCAGGGTAAGCGCGGGCAGGGGGTCGTGTCCCGGATCCAGCTGGGAGCACTGGGATGGGATTTGGGGGTCTCAGCCCCACTGGGAGCAGTGGGATGGGATTTGGGGGTCTCAGCCCCACTGGAAGCACTGGGATGGGATTTGGGGGTCTCAGCCCCGCCGGGAGCACTGGGATGGGATTTGGGGGTCCCAGCCCCACCAGGATCACTGGGTGGGAATTGGGGGGTCTCAGTTCCTACAGGGAGCACTGGGATGGGATTTGGGGGTCTCAGCCCCACCGGGAGCACTGGGATGGGATTTGGGGGTCTCAGTTCCTACGGGGAGCACTGGGATGGGATTTGGGGGTCTCAGTTCCTACGGGGAACACTGGGATGGGATCTGGGGGTCTCAGCCCCACTGGGAGCACTGGGATGGGGTGTGGGGGTCTCTGTTCCTACGGCGATCACTGGGATGGGATCTGGGGGTCTCAGCCCCGCCGGGAGCACTGGTGAGCAGTGCTGTGCCCCCGGGGGTCCCGGGGGGTGCGGGGGTCCTGGCTGAGCCCCCAGTGACCCTGGGCTCCCCGCACAGATGCACAGAACGTGTTGGCCCACGGCAGCCACCGGCTGGGGGGGGCCGAGCTGGGGGTGCGCCCGGCCCCCCCCTGGGACCCCACCCACTTGCTGCTGCGGGGTCTGGAGGCCAGGACCCCCTCGGAGCACCTGGAGACCCTGCTGGGGGTCCCCCCCGGCACTGTCACCCTGTGCCAGGGCTCTGTGCCCGGCTGGGGGCTGCTGCGCCTGCAGGACCCCCTGAGCCCCCCAGGTGGGACTGGGGGCTGTGGGGG